ATATACATCTAAAATTATTATCACACAAATGTAAAAAGATATTCTTTAGTTTCGGAAGACGAAAGTTGAATTTGGGGATAAAAATATACTTAGAAGTACATTGACCAGTATCATAATTTTTCCATGTATGATGTTATTGTCAAAACTTCTATGTACCATCTTTGTGCTATTACATACGCTATTCGGCGGATCTAACTTTTTAGTAGCATGACAGACATATTTTTTTTAAATCAATATATATGCAACAGAAGACCAATTTTAACTTAGTATATTGTATATATATGGTGACGGTAACATAAGTAAGAATTAATAAACTTGACAACAAACCTGTGTGGTAGAAAGCCATTTGGTATTAAAGTATTTAAATATTCTTCACGGTAGTAATTGTTGGTATCATCTTCCGCTAAGCCAAAAACTGAAAAATATTTTATTTTTACCATAAAATTCCGCAATCGCCCTTTTATTTAGTTGATCAATATATTCTATTTTGCTAGCTAAGATACCTTTAATTTCTATCATGCAATTTTTACAAAGTGTGTTTTAATATAATGATAGAAATATTTTCCTTATTAAATGCATTATTGTTATATAATCATCTTTTATTAGATGCTCTTCTTCGTTTCCGACACGAATCAATAAGTCACCGAAAACTGGATCTTTTCTTACTTTATATTTTTTATTAGTTGACTTTTTTACATTTGAGGTCATAAGTATAATTTCGACAAGCTAGTTTTTATAGTCCCTGCTTTCGTCGATTTTGGAACTATTGTAGTACTTGACAGAAATCACCTTCCAAATAATTAATTTTTCACCAAGCACTTCATTGATATTCAATATATATCTCTAGAACTCGGGGCAATTGTTTCGATCTTTTGACACTTAGCCATAAGCGCTTTATCCCATATTATCAATTCTGCTTTTCTTATAAATTTAGCAATATTTGCTCTGCTTTGATATATTTGTGATGTTTATTTCAATTGTTTGAAAAGGTATATCGAATCTAAAGTGAGTGACCTCATAATAAAATTGTTGTTGGTACACCATTTGTTATTTTGCTTACAATATCATGCCTCTTGATTGACATTTTCAAGTAATGCATGACATAGAAATATTATTTCGATTCCGTCGGAGACATCTACAAAGGATAATCCCGCTATACCAGAGTCGGCTCTTTATAATATAGTATTGAAAGTTTATTCTTGTTCACGATTTAGCTTTGATTATGCTTCAACAAGCAATTGTGTGGCTGTTTGATTCTTAATACTATACTAATATTTTTTAGTTTGTGGTCTAATTTTTAATCTATAACGCTCTTTTTATGGAATAAATTTATGTACCCTAAGATTTTTTTTTAAATTGAAAAATAATTTTACTCATATGATGAATTTAAAAAATAATTAAATTGGATTCTCTTGCTAAATAATTAATTGAAAGATTTTATTGTTTGGTGTATAACATAACAAATAATTTATTTTATGTTTATTTAGATTCTTACTATTAATTAAAGATTTAATCATAATTATAATTTTATCCACCATAAATATTATTTTCAAAGAGTGAAAAAATGATTTAACATTTAACTTTTTAGATCTTTATGTATGCAGAATCATTAGTGATATTGACTCTTACCAACCATTTTTTCCCTCTTTGTCACACATTTATATTCTTAAATAATTTCTTAGTTGTTGATATTACATGAAAAATCAATTAAATATATATTATTTGAGTAGAAAAATAATTCAAATACAGTATAAAAGTATATTATGGGCATATATTTTTCTCTAAAATTCAACGCTTTAGGCAATTCATATAAGAGTATTTTTATTTTGTCTTGGTATTGAATGTTATGGAGCGGTAATGTACTGCCAATATAGAGGATTCTTATAAAATTAATTTAATTTCTACATACTTTTAATAAGAATTTAATAGATAAAATTTTATTAATTTAAAAATCTTAAATATTAAAAAAACCAACATAGAAGGTATTGTAGTCCAAAAAAAGAAGAAGGTTATTTTAGTTATATCCTTTGCCTATGAATTCTTCTATTTAATATTTAAGAATATTTTGGTCTTTCAATATTGTATTCGTACTTTTATAATAATATAGGCTCTCCTTTTTCTAAATAGATTTGGACAATATGAATTAGTAATAGGACATTATAATATGTTTTCAAATTAAATTAGTAAAAGAAAAATATAACGTGTCTATGCTCGCAAGTACTTATACTAATAGGATTCCTAACGTGTACTATTATGTCCTAAAATTAATAGGATTATAAGCCTAGTACCTAGAATTTCAGTTATGTCCTTTTATGTGAGTTATTATGTTTTATATTATAAGATTATTTTTGTAAACGATATTGTATTCATGATTTTTAATTTTTTATATATATANTGTCGATTTTGTAAAAAATAAATGCCCTTTAAAAAGTTTATGATTGAGAATATGGAATAAGTGACTTTGTTAGAAGTATTTGGTCCTCCTTTTTTTTGAATGAATTCATATAATACGTTCTCAAACAAAATTGAAATATAATTCAAATAAAAAGGGATAGGAAATTAAATTAAGTTATTTAAATTAATATGGGTACTTATTAGGGATTTTTTCCTAACTATACCATATATAAAACCTTATTACCAAATATGTGCATACTATGTAAATTACCCGCCCAGTCCACAGTTTTCCTACAATTTCTGTACCATTTGTTTAATACAAGATTAATTGGGCAAAATCTTCTATAATTAACGCGCTACAAATCAGGAAAAAATCTTGCGATTGATTGAGTATACATTAAATTCAAGTTTTGAAACGGAAAGGAGATTTCTATTCTTCATCTTCATCTTCATCTGTTCTTCCATATATTTTCTACCATTGATAGCCATTAAAAAAGCTTGAAAGCTTTGAATTCAAATTTGAGTTTTCAAAAATCATTATTTGTTTGGATTGAGTGTTGTTGAAAATAATCGGGAATATGGTTTGGAGTTTCTATCTCAATTTTGAGGGGTTTTGGTGAAGATTAGACTTGGTTTTGACTGAATTTCAGATTGAAACTCGAAGAAGAAGAAGAAGACATATTGCAGAAATTGTAGATTATTTGTATTCTGATTGTAGATGCTTTATTTTCTGTTTTCATAAATAAAAAACTGCTAAAACTTCTACAAATCTTCTAAAAAAATGCAATTATGTCAAAAATCATAATTATGCTACAATTGGATGGGAATTGGGATATAAAATTTAATGTACCCAGTTTGTAGATATTTTGTAGATTATTTGTATTCTAATTGTAGGTGCTTTGTTTTCTGTTTTCACATATCAAAAACGACTAAAACTTCTACAAATCTTCTACAAAAACACAATTATGTCAAAAATCCCAATTAAACTACAATCGAACGGGAATTGAGATATTAAAATTCAATATATCCAATTTGTAGATATTTTGTAGATGACTTGTAGATTATTTGTATTCTGATTGTAGATGCATTGTTTTCTGTAGATGAATTGTAGATTAATGTGGTTAGCGGGTATAATCACAGCAGCAACAGCAGAATCCTTGGAAACTTACAACCGTGACCAATGTAGAAGAATTGAAGCTAGTTATCAACACGATTCCCATTTGGCTAACCACTATACCATTTGGTATCTGTGTAGCACAAGAAGCAACATTTTTTATCAAAACGAGGCGTGACACTGAACCGAAAGATTGTTCACAATTTTGAGATTCCCCCTGCCTCAATTTTTTCCTTATGAGAAAATCCTCGTACTTGTCCTAAGACGGGCAACAGGAAACGAAAAAGGCATTAGTATTCTCCAAAGGATCGGTATTGGAATGATCTTCTCCGTTTCTACTATGATGTATTATTTGTATTTGTACTCAATGAGTTTCATCTCTGTATTTTTTGAGAAAAAGAAGGAATGGAGAAGAGAAATAAATGGGAGGGGGAAAATGACGTTGGTCAGATCTTAGGAATTAAGGGGAGAGAGAAACGTGGGATATATGGATACCTTTAATTAAGGAGTAAAAACTGCCCATTAATTAGACCCTTAATTAAGTATAGTATAGGATTGGTAATTTGGTATACGAGTTTGTAATTAAACCAAACCTTAAACATTGAGGGTAATAAAGTTTCCTATGTGGTATAAGATGGTAAAAATTACTACTTATTATCGTTGTTGTCCAACCATGAATATGATTGTAGGTATACTTGGTCCAAAAAGAAGTATGTCTATGTCTGACAAGTAATTACTAATAGAATTAAGAAGGAATTTAGGATCCAAAAGGTAATATGTTTACATGGTTACGTGTTCCTAATAAAGGTAATTGGCATTCCTAAAGGTAATTGGTTTACAAGGCTATTATATAGTGTATAATATACTTGTATGTCCTAAAACTAATAGGATTATGAGGCTAATGTCTAGAATTTTGAGTATGTCCTTTTATTGTGAGTTATTATGCTTAATATTAAAAGGTTATTTTTGTAATCCAACATTGTATTCATGCTTTTATAATAATATAGATATAGACTAGTATAAGTGTACGCGCGTTGCGCGTGTACCCTATATAAAAGAGAAAACACTTTTTAAAATAGCATAATTAATTATTCGAAAGATGTATTTGTGTTACATCCCTTTATTTTCACTGTCTCGATTCAGTTCTGAAGCCAAAGAATTTTATAGCTTGCGGTCTTAGATAATGAAGATAATGATCGTTGCGTGAACCTCTATAAGAAGTTAAAGCAATTCTTTCATGTAAAATAATTTTTTTTATAGTTTTTTTAGTTGATTCACAGTAAGCTTATTTCTTTATTCATTAAAAAAGAATATTTATTTTATCGATTGGAATTGAGATCATTCTGGCGCAAGCAGTCATGGTATATTGTGATTTGGTTCATAGTATATTCTAACTTGTAGTTTTTTCTTAAATTTGAAGGAGCTACAGTAAACTATTTTTCCAGCTAATAGTGTTGCTCAATTTTGTTATAATTACAAAAATACACTTGTGGGCCTAAACAAATAGCTCAAGCAGACGTATCTAGGTATCCTTTCCCCGCATCACTTCCACAAAACTCAGCCGTACATATTTGCCGCTCGCCGCCGCCATGAACGACGACGGATTTACAGCTGAGAGATTGTTCAACCAAGGCTACTCTTACACTTACGATGATATCATCTTTCTCCCTGGCTACATCGACTTCCCTGTCGACGGCGTCAACCTCTCCACTAAGCTCAGCCGCAACATCTCCCTCTCCATCCCCTGCGTCGCTTCTCCTATGGACACCGTCACCGAGACCTCCATGGCCGTTGCCATGGCGGCGCTCGGCGGAATAGGTATGGTTCACTACAACAACACTATCTCTCAACAAGCATCCATCATCCTTGCTGCCAAATCTCATAAAATCCCTTTCTCCGCCGACTTAATCTTCGCTACTCCCTCGGATTCAATCCATTCCGCCGATGAATTCGCTAACTCCCCTTGCATTTTCGTCACCGAGTCAGGGAACAAACAATCCAAACTGTTAGGACACGTGTCAAAGTCTGATTGGAAGAACTTGAGCAATAAGGAAGCTAGGATTTCTGCTTATATGAACACTTCTCCCGTTACTCTGCCTTCGAGTTATGATTTCAATGACGTGGCAGGCTACATGGCATCTAAAAAGCTGGACTTTGTTGCATTAGTAAACGAGGAGGAGGAAAACGGGGAAGTAGTCAATTTAGTGACGAGTGCTGACACGGAGAGAATAAAGGGACTTCCGAAATTGGGTTTGCCATCTTTAGGGGAAGACGGGAAGTTCTTAGTGGGGGCAGCGGTGGGGACGAGGGAATCAGATAAAGAGAGGCTGGAGCATTTGGTGAAAGAAGGGATTAATGCTGTGGTGATTGATAGCTCGCAAGGGAATTCGCTGTACCAGATTAATATGATCAAGCATGTGAAACATACTTACCCTCACTTGGATGTGATTGGTGGAAATGTAGTCACTAATTACCAAGCTGAGAACTTAATTAAGCAGGGAGTTGATGGATTGAGGGTTGGTATGGGATCTGGGTCCATCTGTACCACTCAAGAAGTTTGCGCTGTGGGTCGCGGTCAGGTGAATTATCTATCTCTTCATTAACTTGTTATTGTTGGAAGCAGCTGGTGTTTTGTTCCGCTAATTGTGCTCCCTTCGTTCGAATTTAAAATTTGTTGCATTGTTTGCTATGTTTGGTTATGTGATGGAAGTGCAGCTTTGTAAGTAAAAAATCTGGTGAATTATCTTTGAAGTGCCATTTTCTAGTCAAAAAATATGGTGCACTGCAGTTTTTTTAGTCAAAAACTCTGGCGCAGTGAACTGATAGCTGTGCAGTTTCTTTTTTTTTTTGCAAATTTGAAGAGTACAGTTTTTATCATTGAGTGGAAATTTGAAGAGAATAGCAGTGAATGTTTCCTTGTGCAGGGAAAATATCTGATCTCTGAGCAGGGAAAAGGGAAAAGCATTGAACGTAAAGCCTCTTTTGAGAAATCAGTTAGATTTAGGTTCTCTACCAACTGTGTCATCTTTTTACCTACATCAAGGACTATATCTATCAAGTGTGATATATATTAAGGACCAAAATAAAGCAACCCCAGATATCATTAAGGACCATTTTGATAGTTTTCTCGGTAAAAGTAAATGAAACTTATGTTCTCTATCAATTTTGTTTAGGCAACTGCTGTTTACAAGGTGTCATCAATTGCTGAGCAGCATGGTATCCCTGTGATTGCTGATGGTGGGATTTCAAATTCTGGCCATATCGTGAAGGCATTGTCCCTTGGAGCATCAACTGTCATGATGGGAAGCTTCTTGGCTGGTAGTAATGAAGCTCCTGGCACATATGAATATAAGGTACAACAGGATTCTCAATGCTTTTATATATGTATGCAAAAGTTCCTTCCAAGATACATCCACGGTTTTTTAGCTGTATCTGGAGTCTTATTTTTACATGGTATTGCCTGGAAACTTTCCTATCTGATTTCAGTTTATATCCCGCGTGCAAGTTGACTTGGTCCGTGGAAAGTTGCTCTTTGGAACATAGTTATATAAAACTTTTTAATTTTTAGGCGGGTCCTTCAAGGTTGGCATGAAATGTTAGTTGATCAGCAGCAAAGTTTTATTGTCAAACATACATTTTGTGCCAACTCTTAGACTACCGGTATACTAGCCTTATTTTAAATAAATATAGTATATTTGATTATTTGGCACATAGTATATCTGCTTTCCGTGACAAGAGTTTTGGTTATGTTAAATCTTCAAAGCTGCTTGATTGCAAATGTTTGTACTGTGAGACTAAAAGAACCTTGGTGATTCTATTCATATTTGCAAGTGTAGCCAACTCAAATATGCCCTTGTGCTATTTTTAACTTTGGTCAATTTTTGGGCAAGGATAGAATGGTCTGCGTGTGAAAAAATATCGAGGTATGGGATCCCTGGAAGCAATGACAAAAGGGAGTGATGCAAGATACTTGGGTGATACTGCTAAACTAAAGATTGCTCAGGGAGTTGTTGGTTCAGTTGCTGATAAAGGTTCTATTCTGAAGTTCATTCCCTATACAATGCAAGCTGTAAAGCAAGGATTCCAGGATCTAGGTGCTTCCTCCTTGCAATCTGCTCATCATCTTTTAAAATCAGGCAAATTGAGGCTAGAGGTTTGTCTCTTGTTATTTGTTGTATCTTCTTACTCAACCATTATTATTGTTGCATGTTTGGGTTTTTTTTTCCGGGTATTTGGAAAAAACAAAATGAAACGGCAGAATCATCTTACCTCATAGTTCATGGGGATCTTTTTTTTTTTGATTGTTAGTTCATGGGAATCTAACTTTAACTCTCTTTTCTGGTTCTCCAGGTCCGAACAGGAGCCGCACAAGTTGAAGGAGGGGTTCATGGTCTCGTCGGTTATGAGAAGAGATACTTCTGATTTAACTTTATTGGAGAGTAATGTAAGCAGTTACGCTTGATCCACAAGTTTCTTGTTGTTAAACTTTACAAAACCTTAGCTGTGGTTGACAGTGTAGTCAAATTTTGGGAATGTATGCTCCAAGTTTCTCGCTCTATTTATCAGCAACTATTACCATATATATATCGAAAAGTGTGCTGCAAAATCAACCTCTTGCCAGTACAATATGCAAAATGGCAAATCAGAATTGCATGAAACTTCTAACTGTCAATATAATATAACTCCATAAGATGAATTTGGAAAAGCTTCTTCCTTTTCATAATTAGTTTTAATAGTAAAACTTTATTGACCAAAGTACGAGAAAATATTGGTAGCCATAGGGTGATGTGGGTGGCACATAGTGAATCTCCAATTAACTTGTATTCCTAGTGAACCCTTTATAGTTTAGGCTTCTCTGGTATTCTTAGTTGAAGGGCTTACATTAATGATTTAATTTTCTATAGAAACCGGAAAATCCATACAAAACAGGTGCATGGCTAGTGATTTTATCCCGATGAGCAGCCATTTCTGTAGTGGTCAAAGCCAAATTCTTCAATGTTAGTTCTAAATTTCTAGGCTTTTCTGATGCTTAGAGTGAAAATAATTGGTAGTCTAGATCTTTCGCATTTTACTTTCTATTAAGTTTTCTTTGATATCAAGTTTGTATATTCTGATATCTGCAATTCTGTTTTTGTTCTATACAGTAAGAAACGGAGGAGTCGTATTGCATTTAGTGTGCCTTGTTCTTGAAAATCCTAGTAAGTTACACCCTCCAAAGTATCAGTCACTTAAGTTTCACTTAGACAACCTCTTCATAAGAATGAGAATGATTTTGGATTAATTAGGAACAACATTGTCATTTTGTCTAATAATCATTGTAGTCTTGACTCTTGAGCGCGCGTGTATGTAATATAGGAGTACTAATTACTACTATATATTATTCTTAATAGTCGTTCAAAGGTCTACGTCATGATCCAATACCATTCATGTGCTTCAGAGTTGTAAATTTACACGAACAAAAATATGAATAACAAAATCAGCTACCTTTTGAAGTCCTGCATGTGTTAATGAGCTGTAGGTTCAAGAAAGATGAAGGAATGAGTATGATTAAAACGTTCATCTCGAGTGCACATGCAAAGCCTCCTCAAAGTCATGGATTAATTCAAAGTATCAAGGATTTCTTTCTTGATTTCTTTGGCAAGATTTGTGAAGGAGAAGGGCCTTACCTGATCAAAGAAGAAAACCCTGCTCATCTGCTCGAGATATTAAGAATGCAACTCATAGACCCAAATGTTTTCTCAGAAGGCGGATGCTATCTAAGGGGTGAATGGTGCTCATATCGTTCAGCCATGGAGCTCAAGAAAGCAGGACTACGTTTCAGGCATGGACATTAAGTTCAATTCATTTCATTGCTCAGCTCTTTTAACACTTCCACCTATAACCATAGATGATTCAACCAAGTCGGAGCTATTAAACTTGGTTGCATATGAGGCATGCCCTGACACACCAGATGACTTTGGTATTACATCTTATCTTTGCTTCATGGATTCACTAATTGATCATGCTGAAGATGTGAAAGAGCTGAGATCAAAAGGTATACTTCTTAACTTTCTTGGAAGTGATCAAGAAGTAGCAGATCTCTTCAATGAAATAGCAAAAGATTTGGTGCCTAATCCACATGCCTTTGTTGGTGTGAAAGACAAAATTGAGAATCATTACAATAACAAAGGAAAAATATGGATTGCTGAGTGGAAGAACACTCATTTTAATACCCCATGGACTATTTTTGCATTTATTGCAGCAATTTTTGTCATTGGTTTGGAAGTTACTGGTATAGGTCTATCAGGTATCCAAACCTACTTTGCAGTCCATCCCAAAGGCAGCTAGTAATGATAGTATTGAAATCCTCTTATAGTAGAAGGCACGGTTGAGCTACTTGAGCTATCTGTGTCATCAACATGCCTGCCCTCCTGTTCTTCCAAATACCCACTCCCCACCTTTCTCAAACATTTCAAGCGTTTATTTTAAACGCAAAATCAATTGCTACGTTACCTGGTTGAATTACAACTTGGTGTGTCTCAATTAATTTTAAACTTATTATCTTTGAAGAAAATGATTTAATTTTGGTATTGTTTCACGGGGAATCTGTAATAGTACGTACAAGACTAATTAATAGCACGTAGTTGCAGGATTTGAGTCCTCATAGTTTGAAGTATTTGACAACATAGGGATGAAGCACAAGCTTCCCGTGGATTTTGGAGCTAAAAGAACTTCCCTTTTAACATATATTGTTTGTAATACTATATCATTCTCCTCCAGCTAAAACACTTAAGGGATGTTGGGTTCATGGAATAGTTATGCAAGAATTATAACCTACAATATTATCTATATAGTGAATAATAATGTCGTGAATATTATGTGACGAAAAATAATACAGGAATCACTATGCAGTGTTTTCTTAGTTACTTAAAATTTTATCTTAATTATACTTATTCATATATTACTAATATATACTTTTTTATTTTATATTTTATCTTACATAAAAATACATAGTATCTTGGCTTCTTCACCACCCTCTGTCATCAACTGCTTGAGATTCAAAGTATAATCAAGTCATTTCAATAAAATGGAACATCATGGTTGGCCAAAAAGGAATATAATTTATATATAAAGAAAAGTAACTACATTGCCATCCATATCCATGCCAAGTCTCGCTATCCCCTCAATATATATATATATATGTATCCCCTCAATTTTTTTTTGTTTGACTAACAGAACTCTAGTTGAGAGGTATCCTTCCCAGCATTAAACACTTCATACGGATTTTTTTAGACAAAACTTAACCCTAGATATTTGCCGCCATCGTCGTCATGAACGACGACGGATTTCCAGCTGAGAGATTGTTCAACCAAGGCTACTCCTACACTTACGATTATGTCATCTTTTTCCCTGGCTACATCGACTTCTCCGTCGACGACATCAACCTCTCCACTAAGCTCAGCCGTAACATCCCCCTCTCCATCCCCTGCGTCACTTCTCCTATGGACACCGTCACCGAGACCTCCATGGCCATTGCCATTGCGGCGCTCGGCGGAATAGGTATCGTTCACTACTACAACACTATCTCTCAACAAGCATCCATCATCCGTGCTGCCAAAGTAATATAATTATTACTACAGTCTAGTAATTGGATAGACTTGCATATCAGTATGAATATGCTATATAATTTTTTTTTAGAATAAAAGACTTTGACATTTATGTTAGAACTCTCACATTAGATCAGTGTGATAATATTTTCTATATGATAAGTATTTGATATTTATGTTTAAATTTACACGTTTGATCAGTTTAGCAAAACTTTATCCATAAATATGTTTTGGCATAAAATATTTTATGAACTATATACATTTTGGTAAGTTTTTTATACCCTTCTATAGAACTAGCAATAATTCTATGTCGCAAAATGAGATTAGTTTCATAGACCTCCCCTTAGGTTTTACTTCGTAGCACTAACTTTTCTTATGTTTTGTGATACTAGTTTCTATGAATATGTATTGCACGATAATAATTGCATGTTAACGTTCAATCGCTAAAAAATTTGACGTTCATAATTTTTACATAGATTCTCAATCAATTATAAGGAACCAAAATTAAATTTACTTAAAATATTATCTATATGAACGCAACAATTGTATGAAAGAAAATGTAACAATCTTCAAATGTTATTACACTTACATAATACTTTGTAGTTGTTCCCTTATGATACTTTGACGAGAAACTTTCAGAAAACCACTATGTTTTAGTGGTTATTAGCTAGTTGTAACTATCATTTATTATATTACTTCCTATAGCTATATTTTCAGATTTTTAGAGTGTATTCGATGTATTTAAGCTATTGTATTCATGAATACAATAGCATTTCTAGGCATGAAACAGGGGATTACAGCTAGACAGATTTTTGTATTCGACTGTATTCATGGCACGAAACATGGGATTACAGCTGGACAGATTATTGTATTCGAATGTATTTCGACTGTATTCACGGCATGAAACAAGGGATTACACTGTTTTTAAACGGAAAGTGAATCAATTAACATAATAGATTCCTAATATAACTCAACAAACTCAATTATAACACACAAATTTTGTATTTCCAGTTATAAAAAAAATTCTCAACCGAAAAACACCCCAAAACATAGCAATCTTCAGAGAAATTATATAATATATCTGAATACATAAATTATATTAATTAAAAAAAATATATGAATACATTCGTGGAATAAAACGAGACAGTGAATACGATGAAATACACAGAATACAACGAGATACATTGAAATACAATAAAAAAAAAAGACAATGAATACAATGAAATACATGGAAATACAACGAGATACATTGAAATATATTAACAGAAAATTGAAGTTGCTCAGCCCCAAACTCCGTCGTCTTCGTTGAAGAACAACCCTAATGTCATCTCGTCGAGAGAGCCGCGATTCTGACTCGAAATGCCACAGAATCTGGGAAACTTCCAAGTTCTTTCCTAGGCTATTACGAGGAAAACACCAAGTTCGTGCCAGCACACTAAATCATGTCAAGGATATGACTACAGACATATTCGTGTTTATCGCCTATGATTTAATTTCATTTCACATAACTGGAAAAACTCCACCATTACTGTCAATTCATCTTTTTGGCTAACTGGGAGTTGTGAAAGTAACTCTTCAAACCTTGGCACTAGATCGCCGGAAAACTCTAATTTTGAGGTGGAAGATGAGAGAGAGGGGGATAATAGATATGTGGTAGGGGATACTAGAAATTTGAGGGGATATGAGATATTATAGTGGAGAAAGAAAAATAATACAAAGCTTGTTTTATGGCTTAAGGGTAAGAGGTAACCATAAATAGATATTTGGCTATAAAAAATCAAAAGGTAGCTATGGAATATAATGTTTTAAAAGGGTATTTATTTAAAATAAATAAGGTATCAACCTTTGTTATTGGAGCTAACTAATCCTACTTTTAGTGGCGGATCCAGGATCTTGTAGTCATGGATGCTCCGCCTCTGTATCTACAGTTGTTACGGTCAGAGGCGGATGCAGTGTTCTACCGACAGGTTCAATTGAACCCATAACTTTTTACGTAGAGTAAAAATTTATACGTAAACATTCAATAAAATTGCAAAAATAGTGGATATGAACCCATAACTTTAAAAATATATATAATGGGTTCAGTGTTAAAAACCTTAACAGTTAAACCCATAGAGTTTAAATCCTGGATCCGCCTCTGGTTACGGTCACAACATATAAGTGCACAACTACGTCTTATTCCACGATGGTAAAAATATTTAACAAATATACTAAAATTAATATTATAGTTAAAAGATTTAATTTATTCATGGTTATCCCTTGCGATTTTCATTTTTTAAATACACAATAAGCAAACAAATATCATTATTTGCTTATTTTACGTTTATTTTCAGAATTAGCCTTCAGTGCAAAACTATTAGCTTTAGATTGAACATAAATTGAATATTTTTAATTAATTACAAAAAAGTTTAAACCATATTAGCAATTTCCTTCTACAATCGCAAAAGATGGAGTTCGTCAGCTTAGGTTTGATGGGGTTTGGGGAAAAGAAATTAAAAAAAAAAAAAGCAAAGGCACTTAAAAAGAAAAGAAAAATATGAAAAAGACCATTCATTTTTGGAGCCGGATGGACCACGATATTGGGGAAGAAAACAGAAAGAGAAAGAAGAAAAATTAAAATGAAGCAAATAAAATTAAAAGAGGAATACAAGTACTGAAGGGATTATTAATATCAAAATGGAAAAAATATTTTCAGGGATTCGATTCTGCGACTGTTCCATCTAGAGATCTCTCAAGTGCACTTTCTAACCAAAGCACCCATCTGCTTATTTTGTTCCTGGGTGCTTACTAAAATTATTTGTTAATTTAATACTAATTGTTTACATAAAACAGAGGTTCCGCACCAAAAGCAATGGGTGCTAGAACACCCATATGGCTCCACGTGCATCTGGACATGCCTACTTTGACTGCTTTGTTATGATTAGAATTATCACGGCCCAAGCCCATGATACATATTGTCCGCTTTGACCCAACAGACCTTACAGATTTATCTCTTGGACTATGCCATCATCGAGCCTAAAAGCGCACTTCACTTTTCTCTCTAATTCTGATGTGGGATTCGCCTAAGGTGTCATGTATAATCCTTCTCTAGAAGTTTGCCAACTTAAAAACCTGTCAGTCCTGCTTAACCCGTCCTCATCGGCCCGCTCTCCGTCATGGAATCACCTTTGGTTCGTACATGCGTTTGTTTTTCTCCTCTTGCTTTCCACGCGATAGAAAATGAGAAATAATAATTTACAAAATGTAAAGCAAAACAAATATAGACAAATTACACAAAAATATTATCGCAATTTTTCAAATAAAATAAGTTAAGAAATTGAATCTTTTGTACTTTTAGGGATATCTGAAGGAAGAGGTGGTACAGAAAAAATTGATAAGTTCATAGAAAGTCTAAAAATGAGTAATTTCAAAATTAATATTTAACAACAAACATACTGAGTTATTATTAGTTAAAATAAATGCAAAAAATAGAAAAAAAATAATCATTAATAATCTACGATTAATAATCATTAGCTGCACGCCAATATTGTATATATCCATATATATTTTATTATTCTGGAAGTTCTTACAAAAGATCTTATCTGCACAAATAATAATCCTAGCCAACTGAAATTCAAACGACTATCTAATTATTTTCTAACCTGTGCAGAGTACTATACTTAATTTTTCTTCTTTGTTAACGCAGATATGCTAATTAATGAATTTGATTGACGAAAGCTACGATTTATGTGGCTCGTGTTATTTAAATTTCTAAATATTAGGAGTTTCTATATAATTTAAATAGGGAAATACTATTTATTAGCCAATTTTTTTGCTAATATTAAAGATCTAAATATTAGAGAAATCACTAAATGACTACTTTGTCTAGGGTAAAAATTTATTTTTAAAGTAAAAAAGACGAGAGATATTCATTACGAG